CCCCACCACTGAGCCCCCCGGCCGGGCCACCCGGACTTTGGGGGTACTGGGGGCCCCATGGACTCAACTGGGACCAGTTCCCTCCCCGTAACCCCACTGGGACCGGTTCCCGCCCCACCGGGAGCCTCCTCCCTGTCCCGTCGGTGCCCCTCCCCCCGCCCGGCCCCGGGGGGTGCCTTTCCCTCCCCTCCCCCGCTCGTTTTTGGGGACGTTTCAATAAAATCGGCGACTTTGGCTCCTTCCTGGCGTCTCTTCCGGGTGTCGGCGTGGTTTATCTGCAACTTTACCCATATATGGTCATAGCTCCGCCTCCGAGCGTGGGAGCGGCGCTTCCCATTGGTTCCCGCCGTTTGGCCCCGCCCCTCTTCCATTTATGAATGAATTGCGGGTGGGCGGGAACGCCGCTGCGCCACCGCGCATGCGCAGCCGGCTCCGGGTCACCTTCCCGCTCTGGGCGCAGGCGCGTTGCGCTGAGGGGGGGGAAGCGCGCGCGCGGGCCGCGCATGCGCAGAGCTAGCGGCCGGCGTGAGGGGAGAAACGAGGCGGCGGCGGCAGCGCCGAGCGGGGACAGCGAGCAGCGAGGGGACAGCGCGGCCGCCATGTACCGGCACGTCACCGCCACCGTCACCGCCGCCGTCCGCCTCCGGCCCGGCCGCGCCTGACAACACCAGGGGAGGTGACAGCACATGGGGGAGGTGACAGCACCAAGGGGAGGTGACAGCAGCCGGGGGAGGTGACAGCAGCCTGGGGAGGTGACAGCACCGGTGGAGGTGATAGCAGCCAGGGGAGGTGACAGCACCAAGGGGAGGTGACAGCACCAAGGGGAGGTGACAGCAGCTGGGGGAGGTGACACCAGCCTGGGGAGGTGTCACTGTCACCCATTGTCAGCAGCCCGGTGTCCCTTGTCCCCCCCAGCTCCCCAATTTCTTCCTGAAGATCCCGGACTACGCCCTGTACGCCCCCGACGTGGAGTTCCAGTGCCAGCACCTGCACCTGCACACGCGGTGGGTGACACTGGGGACAGCCCTGGGGACACTGGGGACAGCCCTGTTCCCCACAGGGTGGCCCTGGGGAGGTGACAGTGCTGGGGCATGTCAGGGTGACACAGGGAGGTGACAGCGGGTGACAGTGGCAGTGTCAGGGTGTCACAGGGAGGTGACTACAGGTGACACTGGCAGTGCCAGGGTGTCACAGGGAGGTGACAGCGGGTGACAATGGGTGACAGTGGGGGACAGTGGGTGACAGTGGCAGTGTCAGGGGGTCACAGGGAGGTGACTACAGGTGACACTGGCAGTGCCAGGGTGTCACAGGGAGGTGACAGCGGGTGACAATGGGTGACAGTGGGGGACAGTGGGTGACAGTGGCAGTGTCAGGGGGTCACAGGGAGGTGACTACAGGTGACACTGGCAGTGCCAGGGTGTCACAGGGAGGTGACAGCGGGTGACAATGGGTGACAGTGGGGGACAGTGGGTGACAGTGGCAGTGTCAGGGGGTCACAGGGAGGTGACTACAGGTGACACTGGCAGTGCCAGGGTGTCACAGGGAGGTGACAGCGGGTGACAATGGGTGACAGTGGGGGACAGTGGGTGACAGTGGCAGTGTCAGGGGGTCACAGGGAGGTGACTACAGGTGACACTGGCAGTGCCAGGGTGTCACAGGGAGGTGACAGCGGGTGACAATGGGTGACAGTGGGGGACAGTGGGTGACAGTGGCAGTGTCAGGGGGTCACAGGGAGGTGACTACAGGTGACACTGGCAGTGCCAGGGTGTCACAGGGAGGTGACAGCGGGTGACAATGACACTCCCGTGTCCCCAGGGGCCGTGCCATGTACGCCGTGGCCGTGGCGCTGTGCCGGGCCCTGGCCTGGGGTTACTTTGCCAGCCTGAGGCTGGAGGTGCTGGCGCTGACGCGGCACCCCGAGGACTGGAGCGTGCGGGCGCGGTGGCGCCTGACGGGGCTGCCCCTGCACCTGCTGCTGCTGCGCTGGTACCGGCGGGACAAACGCACCCTGCTCAGGTGAGGGACACGCCTGTGTGTCACCTGTGTGTCACCTGTGTCACCTGTGTGTCACCTGTGTGTCACCTGTGCCACCCCCTGTGTCACTATGTGCCACCCCCGTGTCACTGCCCCTGCACCTGCTGCTGCTGCGCTGGTACCGGCGGGACAAACGCACCCTGCTCAGGTGAGGGACACACCTGTGTGTCACCTGTGTCACCTGTGCCACCCCTTTCTACCAGCAGGACAAGTGGCACCTGCTGTGCTCAGTGACACACCTGTGTGACCTCTGTGTCACCCCTGACACACCTGTGTCACACCTGTGTGACCCCTGTGTCACCCCCATGCCACCCCCGTCCCCCGGGGGGGTCGGTGCCACCCCGATGTCCCCAAGTCCCCCCGTGTCCCCCCAGGTCCTACGACGCCCTCTCCACCTTCTTCCTCAACTCGCAGGGGCTCATCCGCTGCCACCGCGTGGACAAGGTGAGTCTGGGGACCCTGGGGACACCCTGGGGACACCCCCGGTGTCCCCTGACCCCGTGTCCCCTCCCCAGCTGATGCCAGCCCCCACGGCGGTCCCCGAGCCCAAGAAGCTGCTGGTGGCCGCGGCGCTGGCGGTGGCGCTGGCCCGGCCCTGAAGCCACCGAGGAGGGGACACCTGAGCGCCCCTCCCCCCTCGGGCTGTCCCCTTTGTCACCTGTCCCCTCCCCCCTTAAATTAATGTACAGAATAAAGGAGCCGGCGGTGACACGGGGACAGCGGCGTCCCCCGCGCGGGGCTCTGCCCCGGGGCTGTATTGGGGTGTGCCAAGTGTCCCCTGATGTCCCCCCACGTGTCCCCAAGTGTCCCCAGGTGTCCCCGGGCTCAGCCCAGCTCCTCCCGCGATTTTCCGGCTTTTTTGGGCATTTTGCGGCCGCTGCCGTCCTCGAGCTCCTTGGCCTGGTAATAGTGAGGGGCCACCTCCAGCAGCCAGGCGCTGTCGATCTCGATCACCTGGGGACAAGGACACGCTGTCACACGCCTGGCACACGCCTAGCACACGCCTGTCACACCTGGGGACACCCCTAGGGACAGCTAGGGACACCCGGGGACACCCCTAGGGACAGCCAGGGCCACCTCCAGCAGCCAGGCGCTGTCGATCTCGATCACCTGGGGACAAGGACACGCTGTCACACGCCTGGCACACGCCTGGCACACCTGCGGACACCCCTAGGGACAGCTGTGACACCTGGGGACATCCCTAAGGACAGCTAGGGACAGCTGGGGACACCCCTAGGGACAGCCAGGGCCACCTCCAGCAGCCAGGCGCTGTCGATCTCGATCACCTGGGGACAAGGACACGCTGTCACACGCCTGGCACATGCCTGGCACACACCTGGCACACCTGGGGACACCCCTAGGGACACCCGGGGACACCCCTAGGGACAGCTGGGGACACCCCTAGGGACAGCCAGGGCCACCTCCAGCAGCCAGGTGCTGTCAATCTCGATCACCTGGGGACAAGGACACGCTGTCACACGCCTGGCACACACCTGGGGACATCCCTAGGGACAGCTGTGACACCCGGGGACACCCCTAGGGACAGCCAGGTGCTGTCAATCTCGATCACATGGGGACAATGACACACACAATGACACACCTGGCACACACCTGTCACACCTGGGGACATCCCTAGGGACAGCCAAGGACACGTGGGGATAGGGACGATGGCTTGGGGTCACTGCTTTGTCACTGAGGTGCAGCACCCAGCGTGTCCCTTGTGTCCCCATACCCACACCGTACCCCTGCCCTCTGTCCCCTTGTCCCTGCCATGCCCCCACAGTGTCCCCAGGTGTCCCCATGTCCCCACCTGTCTCATGAACTCCTTGGATGTGCACACCAGCTCGTGGTAGCGCACCCAGCGTGTCCCTCGTGTGTCACTCGTGTCCCCATACCCACACTGCCCTGTGTCCCCCTGTCCCTGCTGTGTCCCCACGGTGTCCCCAGGTGTCCCCAGGTGTCCCCAGTGTGTCCCCAGGGTGTCCCCAGGGTGTCCCCATGCCCCCAGTGTGTCCCCAAGGTGTCCCCAGGGTGTCCCCGTGGTGTCCCCACCTGTCTCATGAACTCCTTGGAGGTGCACACCAGCTCGTGGCAGACCACCCAGCGTGTCCCTCGTGTGTCACTCGTGTCCCCATACCCGCACTGCCCTGTGTCCCCATGCCCCCAGTGTGTCCCCACAGTGTCCCCAGGTGTCCCCACAGTGTCCCCAGGTGTCCCCAGGTGTCCCCGTGTCCCCACCTGTCTCATGAACTCCTTGGAGGTGCACACCAGCTCGTGGCAGAGCACCCAGCGTGTCCCTCGTGTGTCACTCGTGTCCCCATACCCGCACTGCCCTGTGTCCCCATGCCCCCAGTGTGTCCCCACAGTGTCCCCAGGTGTCCCCACAGTGTCCCCAGGTGTCCCCAGGTGTCCCCGTGTCCCCACCTGTCTCATGAACTCCTTGGAGGTGCACACCAGCTCGTGGTAGAGCACCCAGCGGGGCTGCAGGGCGAACAGGGCGCTGTTGGGGTGGATGAACACGGGCTGCTGGTGCTTCACCGTGCGGTACCCGCCCCGCGCCAGGCGCGCCGTGTGGTAAAAGAACCCGGCCGTGATGGCCTGGGGACACAGAGGGGACACTGTCACTGGGGGGGACTGGGATGGACTGGGAGGG